TAAAACATGCACTTTAACAATATCTGAAGATGACTGGATAATGTAATCGTGGCTCTGTGTGTGGTTGTCTTGAAAGTGGGTCAGACATCTGTTTGTGATGGTCAGGATAGCACGTAGCAGTGCGGAAGGGTTGTCACTTGACTATAAGTGTATGAAGTTTCTTTTATTAATGTCCATTATTGTCATCTCTTTCTAGAAGTCAAAATGTCACTTACAAAGCCAGCGATGAGAGGGCTCCTTGCCAAGCGTTTGAGGTTTCATTTGCCCATCGCATTCGGGCTCTCCCTCATTGCAGCAGCCGCCTTCAAGGTCAGTGTTATTGTGTTGATCAATCAGTTTTTGTTGTTTTTTGATCATATGCGCAATATTAGACTTTTGTGGTCTACAGTGCTGTTCAAAATTGTGATTGGCACTTGCTTGGGTCAAAATGTTTCTTAAATTCCGACATCAACAATTTTTAAGAGCGCTTTTTGTTACAATTTATCCTTAATAGCCATTCAAATTAAATGTAATTAGATTATCCCTAATTTGTAGTCTTGTATATTTGGTTGTCCCCTTTTAATTTTTTCATCTTGGGTCAAAGGAGTTAAATAACTTTACAACTACAGTGGACCGTTTTCTTGAATCTGAGAAATAGTTTCTTTCTTCAGTTCACAGTAACCGAGCCCAGGAAACAGGCTTATGCTGACTTCTACAAACATTACGATTCAACGAAGGAGTTCAATGCCATGAGGGAAGCTGGTGTTTTTGAAAGCGTCAGACCCACTGGAAAATAAACCGCTGTCTTGTGAGTGGCCCTTCAAATGCATATATCATTATTATTTGTAATACTTACCTTGCATCACTTTGGCCCTTTTAATGCATCGCTGTTTCAGTTCACATAATAATAATAATCATAAATATTAACCAGTTCTGGCTAAAGTACAAGCTTTGAATGGTCCAAAATTGAGAGATGTGTTTAGGGCTGCACGATTAATCGAATGCGATTGTCATGCGCATTCTGATAGTAAAGCCGGTTCTGTAATCAGCAGGAAATCATCATCGCATGTTTTCAGATGGAGCAGAATTTACTACACACAGCCGTAGTTCACTGA